CCGGGCTGCAGGACCTTACCCCCTCGCTCTTGCAAATAAGCGCGGCCGGACGGCGCATGCTCGCGGCGAGCCTCCGGAAGGGGCGGAGCCTGCGCGGAACCGGACGAGGGCGAAGGGCGCCGTGCGCTCGCCAGGGCTTGTGATGCTTGCGCTGTGATCGGCCTGTATCTCCCACCGGCCTGAATTTGGGGGCCGACTTAGGTTTCAGCATCATTTCGCACACACCCTTTGTGTTAACTAGACCGGGAATTGCAGCTCATTGTTTCTGCAAAAGCTCTTTGAGCTCTAGAGGTCTACTGGGCCCTGTGCTACTCCAGGGGCCACAAAGAGTGTTGTTCGAGCGCTTCCGTGGAGGAGTCACCACGTTCTGGGGTCGCGCCCTGCCGCCGGCGGGGCTGGCTTTCCGAGGGAGGACCTAGAATGTGCGGCTTGGAACGCTAGGCCCTTGGGTTCCTTAAGCATCGCTTCTTGGCTTCCCCTACGGATTATGGTAAACGTTCCCTGCACTCCCTTCCTTTCCACCCAGGGGCAGTGGGGCCTGCGCTGGGACGGTCAGGGCTTCCAATGCCTTATGGAGGCTGGAGCGAAATGTACAGGTGCCTGCGTAAAAGCTACAAGTGTCTGCTCAGCGTGTGCAGCCCTTGCTCTGGACAACTCTCACGCCCTGACTCCCTCTGGCTACTTTTTAAATAAAATATTTATAATGAATTACTCAGAGTAATAAGATAAATAATTAGTAATAAGTTGTGGACCCACCATAACTATACAAATTTTAATAAAAACTCAAATTTATTATACTCGCTTTGATTCATTCTTTTATATAGAACTAGAGGCCCAGTGCACAGAATTTGTGCGTGTGTGTGTGTGTGTGTGTGTGTCCCAGCCCTGCCTGCACCCTCTCCAATCTGGGACCCCTTGAGGGATGTCCAACTGCCTGTTTAGGCCCAATCCCAAACCGGCAGGAGTCCGGTCACCCCTAACTGCCCTCCCTTGTCAGCCTGGCCCCCCCAACTGCCCTCCCCTGCTGGCCATCTTGTGGCGGCCATCTTTTGTGGTGGCCATCTTGTGCTGGCCATCTTTGTGGCGCCATCTTTTGGCGGCCATCTTGTGGTGGCCATCTTTTGTGGTGGCCATCTTGTGTGTTGGAGTGATAGTCAATTTGCATATCACTCTTTTATTAGATAGGATGGGATACAGAAAGGAAGATACTCCCTCGCCATCTCAGTCTGTCTCTCTCCCTCACAGTGACCACTATCTTGATAATGGTGTATATCATTATTCCCATGCATGTTCACATATGCACACACATATTTATACACACACACACATTAGCAATATACTTTTTTTTGCACATTTAGGCATGTAATTAAGTGGAATTATACTATACCTATCATTCACCTTTCTCCTCTCTCAAAATTATACTTTTGAGACTTATCCAACTGACAAATCTCTAGTTAATTTTCAGTGCTCATTGTGTGACTAACCCATAATTTATTTTTTTCCCTTACTGAAGGAGTTAGGTTTTTCTACTTTAATGCTCTTAATAGAGCAGTAATGAACACCCTATGCAAGAGATTCACCAGGTAAATTCCCAGAAGTGAATTTACTAGAAACTTTCAACTTTAACTGTTAAATTGCTTCTGAAATGATCTCACCAATTTATACTCCCGTCAGCAGTATATGTAGTTTGGGGGCCCCAGGGGACTAGTGTCTTATCCTGAGAAATCTGAATTGAGAAAGGTTTGGGGGAAGGGGCTAGGAAAGGAAAATGATGGCTGCAAGGGGATCAGCCCAGAATCTGTCAACACCAAGGATATGCCAGTGTTTGCCATGAAACAGGTGTGGGCCACCATAAGACATCCAGCATGGGATCATCGTAGAGCCTGTGCAAGAAGCCTGGATGGAAGGACAAGCAGTACAGCACAGAGAACCTGAAGTTATCATCAAATTCTTAAAGACTGAAAAACAATAATTTCATTTGCCTTGCCAAAGGAACCGAAGATGAGTAATTCCCTGATGATGGGGTTGATAAAAGAACCCAAGAGAATGCCCACAAGAATCAGCTTTAAACATCTGCCAACAGCACACAGCATGACCATCAACACCAGAGCACAGTCAGGTAATGTTAGTGGAGGCAGTTAGCTAGTTATTCATAAAGGCAGGAGGCAAAGGGAGTCAGATATTATTAAGTATAATCAACTGGGGAGCATGAGCTTGCTTGCTTTGCCGGGAAGTCACAGCTTCACACACTTCCCCGGAAACCACCTTTCTGCTCCCCACAGAACACTGGGAGAAGGGATAGCGCAATGAAGAGGGACTTAAGCACATGCACAAGAGAAGTCAGAATGGCACAGGGGGAGGTGCTTGACCATAGCCTGGGGAAATACCATACTAGATTGGTTGGAAGGTGGGCCCAGCGCAGTCTGGAAAGCTTGGGAAATTGACGAGTTATTTTGAAAAAGGTGGTCCTAGTCTTTTACAAGCCTGAGATACGATAACCTCATAATCCCAGGGGAACAAAGATAGAGATTCATTCCCTCTTTTCTTCTCTCCTCTCCTCTCCTCTCCTCTCCTCTCGAACCAGTAAGCTTCATTTAGAAATGGCTCCTAGAGTGAGAATGGGATCCAGCGGGAAAACAGGGTCTCTGCACCATGTGGGACTGCGTCCCAGCCAGTGCTTGCTAGTGCACTCTCCCGCTCCATCTCCTCTCCTCGTTTCTCCTCTCCTCTCGTCTCCTCTTCCTCTCTCTCTCAGCTAGTAGCCAACTGGGGCCCACAACAGATTCAGAGGGCTCCAAATTTCCACTGGCAACACTACTACAACCCTGGCTAGGTTGGAAGAGTGACCAAAAAAGTTATAACTCTATCCTCTATTGGAATTTTCATCTAAAGACAGAAGAATTGGGCCCAATAAGTAAATATAAATGGTGGGAGAGAAAAATAAAGTAACTTCATAATTATAGTATTACATCAGACTTATTGAATACTAGAGGCCCAGTGCACAGAATTTGTGCACTGGTAGGGTCCCTAGTGGCTGCTGGCTGCTGGCTGCTGGCTGGGTACTCCTTCCCTTCCCCAGGCCAGCCCCACCCCCTGGTCAAACTTTTGGACAACTCCCAGTCGAGGGGACAATTTGCATATTATGCTTTTATTATATAGGAAAAAAAACATTCCTCTAGGTTGGCTTTATCCTGCCCTCTAGAAAACTTCTAGTCAACAAATGCAATTTGTTTTAAAATTCTGGTTGTCATATACAATTTAAAGGTAAAACTACCAAAAAAAATGTAATGCTTCTAAAATCAAATAAAATTATTTGGAAATTTCATGCTCTTCTGAGTAGGTATCAAAGCAGCAGTACCATTTCCTATATTTAACTAGAATTACTAAGTATTCATATAAATAGCTTTTAACAATTGTTTGAGCACTTACTAATATAATAACCAAGTAGAAACAAATTGAAAAACAAACCCTGATATTTCACCTGTCAAAATACAAATAGTATAGCATGAACAAAGAAGAAAAATATTCTTATTTAATACTAGAGGCCCGATGCACGAAATTTATGCAAGAGTAGGCCTTCACAGCCTTGGTGGCTGCCCGGATCCCTCCCTTGCAGCCTTGGCAGCTGTCTCGATCCTGCGACCGCAGCCCCTGCTTCATCTGGAAGGTCATCTGGTTTAATTAGCATATTGCATTTTTATTATTATAGAGGCCCGGTGCACAAAAAT